ATATAATATGTCAGCCTTTGTGATAGTTGCTTACCTGTAAGCTAAAATAACTAATAAATACGTTCTTACGGATGCAATCACTTGCTCTTTATTAACTACTGTGATTAATTAGAACAGATGTAAACGTTTATTACCCAATAGTATTTACCCAGTATGCTGTGGCTATTAATTCTATAATTATATCTACAGAGCAATGGGTGATATGAATTATAAAACAGGAATATACTTAATCCCTTTGTTAATATCTATATATCACTAGAGAAAGTAGTTATGTGTCATGTAACAAGTTTTAATTATAACTGCACCGAAATGTAGGTAGGTACATTACGAATTTTTAGACAAATACATTGGCCTATAAATCAAAAACTGGATTTAACATGCCCACTAATATCCAAGTAACATAGAGATAGATAATAATTTACTTTTTATTAGTATTTCAGTTTTGTATACATTAAAAATTAGAGTAATGATTAAAAAATGTATCAGTCTATGTAACTTTAATGTTTGTACTTATATTTTGATAGTTGTATAAAGTTTGCGTAATAAACTAATAATTTATAATTTTCAATAGATTAAAAAATTTCTTTTCATATTTTTTAACCTCACCTACGACATACTGATGAGGACCAATAAGTCCGAAACAGGTCTGTGTCTGGCGGGTTAACTGACGACGATCCTACCTGTTGTGAGTAAAATTCAATGCCGGTCGGGGCATACAGCCTGCGGAGCAGTTGTTTCTCGCAACACTGGCAATTTAAAACATTTTGTTTTCACCCAGTTCGCTTCCTACTAGTAGTAGCCATGTAAATGGCGTACTGGCGATAGATGGAGCCATTTACGTTCCGTGTATAACATATTTTTTAATGAGACGTTCTTTTTTTCAAAAGTGGCTAAATATTCAAAAAATAAATCTATATAAATTTTATTTTTAATGGTCTTTACAAGCATTGAAAAGTAAAATGAGAATTTTTAAGGTATCTGTTAAACCATAATAAGGAGAAAATTATGACACAATATATTTCATTGTATCATTTTGCGCTTTATACCTTAAAATGACTTAATTGTTTAAAATATGTATGGCAAAATTAAACGTTAATGTTCATGGTCCAGATATATTTTACTTTCATTTCACAAGAACACGAATACACCGCCCTGATGATTATCAGTCACTATCAATTTGAAAGAACCGCTGTTCACCAAAAACCACATTTTCGTGTAAATATTAAGCAACGGTCTTTCAAAAATCAAGTCAGTCCACAAAGTGGAACAGTAGTTCTTGCCACACTCTTTAGAAGCCATTAGTCGTCTTAATATAAAGCTGCACCTACATTTCTTTTGTGTTTCTAATAGTTCGGTAAAGACCAAACAAAACGTTATTATCAAATTGCAACAGCTGAATAGTTTATTGTAGTCTATAGACTCATATATTTTTTATTTGTATTTTGGTCCTTGCTGAACTTTTCGAGCCGCCAATGTATTATTTCTGGAACATAACAGAAAGTAACTACGAATAATTTATTCTGGAAATTTTTCGAAGCAAGAAGTTCTGACTAGAGCAAGTTTAACTTAATATTTTAAGATTTAAAATGTTAAGCAGTTTGATTTGTAATAGTTGACGTTGTACAAACTTGTTTTGTTATATATATAGAGACAGTTAATAATGCACATATCGTTTGTATCTATAATAGGACTAATTAGTATGTTATTTATATAGGGTGACAACAATATAAATATATTTAAAACTGACGTTTATAAATTTTGACGTGTCAACCATCACTTGTTTTGTCTAATAACATGTTCATAGAAAGCAAGATTGATATTAAAATATTATTTCTAGCGCGGTAACCATGGAGAATTTTATTCAGAATGATCTCCGTTCCGTAAGTTTGTCCAGTACGTCATGCAACACCCTGTATATGCATTCTCTTTTAAGTATACCTACGTACTCACCTTTTCAATGACTAATCGCAAAATAAACGACATAATTTTAACAGCGCTAGGAAAACAAACTCGGCGGCATTTGCTAGACGTGAATGGCTCTGACTTTGATGCGTTCGCGTAAACGCAGTCGAGACGTGGCCTACATTCTGGCCTTTATGCAATTTGATTAATTACGGATATTGCCATTCCTCAGAAAACCCGTTACAGTTATACCTAAATTTGGCATAATCTAAGCGACTTGTTTGGTTTACCTATTCCCGACAGTTTTAAGGATTGTTATACGCATTTTGATCAATGTATTCAAGTTTTATCTAGAAGTTGGTATATTTCTTTTAAAGTTTGAGCATGTGCAACTACATTATTTATATTTAATGGAGTCATTACTGAGGTTTTTGGAAGAAGGAGATAATGTAAATTTAATTTTTTGAAATGTCTTAAGCAATACAATGTTGATTTTAAAAATATTTTATCTTGAAAATAACCTTTCTCATACTTTCACTGGATATACAAAATAAAACAGGGGTTTTAAAGGGACTTATTTCATTAATACAATAAAAAGGCATGCATATTTAGAAGTGCTCGTAACTTTTACAGGAAAATACCAGTTATCGACATACCATCCTATGTTTTGTCCAATTTTCAAGCTTCATTTGAAGGGACTTTATGCAGGGTGTTTTTAAATGAAATGAAGTAAAAATACCTTATATGAAAGTTGCACCCTGAGACGATAGACCCTCTTAAAGGAGGGGATTGAAATTCACATTTTAATTTTTTTCTTGAGGAATTCTAGAGACACGAAACTTGATATGAGCATCCTACTAAGAGAACTTTTCAACATTTATTCGATCATTGGTGTATTGTATAAAGGAGTGAAACAGTCAACCGCATTGCAATATTTTATTAGAAATTTTTTATATGAAGCAAATTGTTTATTTAAAAATATTTATTGGGAAGACTGATTTATTGCGCAACTTTTTTACCTCTTGTAATTTTCGATAAAACCGATAGTTTTCTAGTAAAAAAATTAGATGCGTCATCGTTCACTAAAGGGGTTCCTAATTGCGAAAATTTGTAAAAATTAAGTAGGCGGATGTCATAAGAAATAAATTGTTATTGGCTCGTATCATATTAATAAATTGACACTTTCTGTCAATAAGCTGGTAATTTAATTTTAATAATAACATTAAGCGTAACTTGCTATTAATTAATGAAAAATGTTTGATAACTTATGACTATGGGGTGTATTAGGTAAAGTTATTTATCTGAAATAAAATTTAATACAAACGAAAAACAAGAAATGCAAAATTAAATTTAAAGAATATCCTCGAAATAATTTCCATTTTGCTGCAAGCATAACCTAATACGTCTGTTGAAGTTATAACGCACTCGCACAAACAGTTCTTGGTTATGGCGAAGGTCATTTGTTACCTGAAATATTCTTAAGTGTAGTTCTTCTAAGAGGGCTACAGTAATGGCATAAACAATACTTTTTATGTGCCCACAAAAAGAAATCCATAGGCGTTAGATCAGGTGAACGTGCAGGCCAACAAACAGGGGCATCACGACCACGACCAATTCAGCGATTCCACATGCATCTACCACATTACCTGACGTAATAAACAAATTTTGGAACTCAAATGTCGTCAATAAAATTTCTAATACACAGGGTGTCCCGTTCATGTTTCAAAACAATTTTTGCATGCTTATGCATTAACGAAAGATTTATATAATTCATAGATATTTTCCTGTTCGGGGTTATTCCTTTTTACTTTGTAGGGACTTCAATGTAACTAAAATAATTCTAAAACGACGACATCATGTCTTTACACCAATGAAGAATGTATCTTCAATAACAAACGCCAAAAAAAAAGAACTACGAAGGAAATTAGAGTTGGACAACAGTCCCCATTGCCAACTAAAAAGGAATAACTTTGAACAGGAAAATATCTATGAATTATATAAATCTTTCGTTGATGCATAAGCATACAAAAATTGTACAATAGTGTGGTTTCAATTTTAACCATCAGATTGCAGCACTTGTTACTATTATACAGTCGATGAAAATTTGAATTTAATATTACAAATGATGGAACAATTATTGAAGATCTTATTAATATTTTTACAATAATTTTGTTTTTTATTTCATTTTGTTACTGTAACGAGTTTTATGATGTCATGAGAAGAAATTTATTTGAACATTCTGATAAATATTTTGTTAATATTTAGGTATCTTTTACATTAAACGAAGCTTCACTCAATCAAACTTCATTACCACACTCTATTTGGGCTTAGAAAATCTCTTTATTATGTAGCAACCATTTTTAATGCAGAAACGGGAACAGAGAATATGAGAAACCGCGAATATTTCGCAAACTATAAGGAATTTACCACAACATACTTTAATAAAATCAAATGGACAAAATTTGCATCTACTTGTGTCAAATCAAACCATTAAAAAAAAACAAAATATCCATTATTTGAAATGTACGTATGCATAGGTTAGATTTTTTCATGCTTAAACATCCGCCCACAAAAATTTTTGAATAACGTATGCTGAAACATACATTATTTTCGGTACAATTAACAATTAGAAAATATTTTCTAATCTCTGTATCTAGTCTCTCACCGACTCATCAAAACACGCGACAAGAAAAACGTCTCTACAGAAAAACATCTAACAAAAATGTACTATCCTCGCGGACTAATTAGTAAATCAAATTTAATATTTTAGTCACATTTTCCATACCTCTGAAACGAATCCTGGTAGCACCTGAGCCCGCTTTCGGAATGGTAAAGCCGAACAATAAACTGTCGACCCGGGGTGTGTTCTTCCTGTGCCATTGACTGGCAAACGCATACACTCGCAATCTTTGGCATAATTATTTGCCCAAGTAAAAGTAAAACCTCTTAATGACAAAATCGTACCTACCACAATTCGTACGCGATGGTTGATGTTGATCTAGTTTAATAATATCACACGTGATTAAAAAATAAGCGTCCGAACCCTTCCACCGAAGTGTGTATATAAATTAGTTACGGACTCAAAATGCATCACACATCACTTGTGCATTCAACTGTGTAGTTAGTTACATACAGAAAAAATAACCAACATGAAATTTTTGGTAAGTATGGTGATTTTTATGGTTTGTCAGTGATATCGAAATTTTGGCTGTGGATAGATTGTATTTAGTGATACTGTGGTATTTTTTTACTTAATTTTATAACTGTGGATGTATATCATTGAGGGTACGATTTTTTACATTATTACTCCTATATCGACTGAACAATGAAATAAATAATTCAAACAAAAACATTAAAAATAGTAAAATTAAAGAAACAGCTCCATAAAATAAACTAAACAAATAAATAAGTAAAATATAAATAAGTATTGTCTGAAACCATTTTTTGTTACTACAAATACTTCTTCGTAATTTTTTTAAAAAATTTTTGCTTATCCATGTATGTACGAATATTTTTGAGAAAATTATAATAATACAACATATAATATACAGGTTGTATTTAAATAACACCGAAGAAATGCAGGGGGCGTTTCTCTGATGAAAATTAATAGGGGTCTTTGGTATAAAAATTTTTGAAAAAATTCTCCCCTGAAAAGTTACGCCCCTCCAAAAATAAAAAAAAAATTGTTTTTCTTTTTTATCTTCCCGGTATTTCAAGCTAAAGTAGCCAAACTTGGTGAACATTATCTGTCAAAGAAACTACACTTTTTGAAATTTTTTCAACCCTGAAGTATTTCTGAAAGGGTTGAAATAATCAACCCCTAAGTCATTTTTTCTTCTAATTTTTTTTCGATCAAATTTTTTCCTTTTAAAAAATATATCTAAAAAGCCCTATTCATATACTAACTTTTCGATCTCTTCAAATTTTTCCGAAAGGTTAAGGATTTATAAGAAAAAAAATAAATGTATTGCAATGCATTATTAAAAAGATGAGCTGTTTAACGCGAGTATATTTTGCTGAAAATGTGATAGGGGTTGATTTATTTAAATACACCCTGTATATTTAAATACACCCTGTATATATGTAAAATTGGACAACGTATATTTTAAATAAAAATAATTATTAGTCTTTCAAAGCTCATTTTTGGTCAGTGGTTCTTTAGAATTGTTTCTTTATTAATGAAAAGGAAGCTGATTAAAATGGTTATGGCAATTTTATCTATACTCGGCGGCCGTAATTATAAAGAGTGACTAATACATAATATAAAAACACTATTACCATAATGCGTATAAAATATAAAATGATTTCTCTACGGTTCAATATTATTCATCTTTGTGCCGCTCGCCATGCACATCGGTAGAATCTATAATCGTGTAGACTGAAGTTGAGTTACACTGAACGTCGATCTATATTTTATCTCTGTCTTTTGCACTTGGTAAGGAATAGGGAAATGCTTTTTTAGTGGGTGTAAACGGACTTGATTTGCCCGACCTGAGAAACGTCATAGCATAAGCGTAGACGAGGGGTCTAATTCCATGGCTATAATAAATTTATAAATTAAAAAAACACAACTGGGACGTTTTAAAATGCTGTAATAATTAAAATTGATCAAAGTGACGGTTATAGCAAACCCTAAAAAAATATTAGATGGTATGTTTTATTATGTTTTTTCAATATTTTCTATATCTTGTTGCCTTTTACGCAGACACGCCAATGGATTTTCGTTCCCGGCACGCTTTATCCCCCTTACTAGTCCAAGAGCTAGCGATGAATCACTATCTATAATTTTGGCCGTCGAGTATAGCTTCTTAAATCATTTATTTTTTAAATTTTTTGTCATTTTTCTTTCTTTTTCAAGTTACAACAGTAAATGTCTTACTTTTTAATTTTTAATTTATCAAATACGTTCACTGATCTATCTAAAATAGGTATATAATAGGTAGATTATTTCTTGAGAAATTATTTTTTTGAAATTTCTAACACAAAATAGAGCGTAAAATAGAAAAATTATTATATTTATGTATATACATGATTTCGTACATAAATTCATTTTTTTAGTATACGTATGTATACCCAAAATAAACCGCTATTTAAAAAAAAACATCTATAAATATCATAGACAATTTTAAAGAAACAAAATCGTAATTTTTTTTTAATTAAAAACTTTACTAAAGCCTATTTTTTAATACGCAGGTATTCATCGTCGCCGTCTGGGCAGTTGCCTCAGCTGAAGACAAGAAAGAAAAACGAGGCCTCCTAGGGCTCGGCTACGGCCACGGTGCCATCGCAGAGCCTTTGAGCTACGGCTACGGCCCATCTCTCCCTCTTGCTGGACACGGCATCGCCCTATCCGCTCCCATTTCTGCCCCACTGGTGAAGACGATCTCTGCTCCCCTCGCTTACTCTGCCCCAGCTGTTTCATACTCCGCCCCTGCCATTTCATATTCTGCTCCCGCCATTTCCTACTCTGCCCCGCTTTTGGCCAAGTCCTACGCCGCTCCAATCGCCGCCCCAGTCGCTGCGCCTCTTTTCGCTAAGAGCATCGCCGCTCCCATCTCCTATTCCGCTCCTTTGATTACGAAGAGTTATGCCGCTCCTGCTTATTTATCTTCCCCCGTCATCAAATCCTACGCCGCTCCTGCCATAGCGGCGCCCATTTCTCTGGGACATGGTTTGGGATACTCCGACCTTTCACTTGGGCTTGGATATGGAAAGTACCTTCATTAGAGGTCGAGAAACCTAGTGATGTATTTATAAGCCCTTCATTATTTATGCTGTAAATATTATTTGTATTTTTGTAAAATTTTCGGAATATATTTATACAATAAATTGTATTTCCTTGTAATACGTCTTTTCAAAACACAAGAAACATACTCTAGCAAAGTCAATAATTACGAGAAGTAAAATGAAGAAAAGATTAACAAATAATTATTCATGTGAATAGAAAATATACATATAGGAATAATCTGTTAATAAGTTATTAAAAAAAAAACGTAAACACGACTATTATATAAATTGCTATATCAAAATACAATTTAATAAAATCTTCCACACAGGGTGAAAATCGGTGTGCCACGAGGAACAGTCTTTGGTCCCATACTTTTTGTGGTCTACATGTATTGACTTTAAATATTGATCGTAAAATAGTATCATATGCTAGTGATACAGTAGTTATCTTTAATGGGAATACTTGGGAAAACGTTCATTAATGAATGAAACATGATTTAACTACTGTTAAATTTATTTTAATAATTTAAATACATTTTTTTTTACATACTGACAATCATAATTACTGTTCTTTATACAGTTAGTGTACGATCTTTCAATTTGGAAGAGATTACTGTCACACCTGCTAGGATTATCAATTAGAACTATAGCTGATCGTATCTTATTACCTAGAGAAGTTAGTTTTGGTACAAAGTAAGCTAATAATATTGCAGCATCGTTATCAATAAAAAATACAGAGCGCGTTCGACTTACTTTCTCGAACGCGACAGTCAACTGTCACTGTTTCTGGCATCGAGCTGGTTGTCTATGGCTATTAACACTGTTGGCAAATGTACTCTTTTGTGAACCGTGAGCGGAAAGAACATCAATTTCTATCAATTTAAATTATTTCAGACATTAAATACCGCTTAATTATTTTTAAGAACGCGCGTACAAATCCCTGTTATCACCATTATATTTGTTTTGCAATCCATAACTACGAACGAGTATTATTTACAAGTATAAAGAGTTATAAGTATCAAACTTTTTTAATTTTGGCAGTCAATTCGTTTGCACCCTGTACATATCTTTGGTTTTATATCAAAACAGGTATATACTATTTTTTTTGTAACCCTCACAAGAGAACTCGAAACAATTAAAAGAATTTTGTTTTACTTAATTTTTTCATAATAGCATTTTACAAAATCGAAGCTGTCTCATCCCATGTCTAATTAATTTTTTATTCCGAGCGATGCGAAAAATCCTTGAGGTTTGCTGGTTTCCTTGCCTATTAAGTCGACGACGTTGCGATAGACATGTTTTAATTGTCACACTTTGATTCAATGCAAGAGATAATTTAATTTTGCAAAAACGTTGTGCAGTAGTTAGTGGTTGATGATTACGTTTAAAAATAATCCGTTTTGAAACCGTTCGATTCCGTATAGTTCCAGGAATTATGGCAGAGTATTATATAAGGGAGCTAAATATTTTTTATTTAATTTTTTTCACTGAACTGAATTGCATACTATGATATTACTCAACAATTTTTTATGTAGGGTGTATTTTTAAAAACATATACCTTCAATTTTTAAAAAAATTGTCTGATTGAAGCTAAATTAGGCATAGCTGATCTGATGAGAGCAATTGCATTGTTGTCAAAATGACAATCAGATATAAAAGAAAAACCTCTTGCGGTTTCCAATAATTGCTCTTTCCGTTTTCCTATAATGGCGACCAATTGTATGTTATACACCTAAAATAGGATGATCCGATTTTCATGGTTCACCATTGGCATCTGGGAAACCGTAAGATATACTACAGGGTGGCTCAAATTAGAAAAAAGTAGCGCTTTTTCAGGATCATTAAAATAAACCAAACAGATCAAAGATATCTGCTGCCGTTCCTGAAATATTTATTTATTTAAGTTACACCATCTGACAGTTAAAACCAATTAATAGGTGGGAGAAATAGTTAATAAAAATAGACGCATTAAAAAAATCAGATTACTAAAATACAAGAGTAAAAAAACAGTTAACAATATTGTGAAAAAAACTGAAAATAGCGATTTTAGGAAATGCCATCTAGAAGATACGAGGAATCCATTTTCGCCGAAAGAAAATTTCTACGGATGTTAGAGATATCGATAATGTGCATCTTATTTTTTGTCTTGACATGAGTGTTTTGTCTTGTCAAAAAAAAAAACAATTATTATTATTGATAAAAACGTCAAATGTTTGTGTTTGTGGAAAATATACATATTTAAAAAGGAAAAGTACAAATTGTTTTTTTTTTAGGGGCGCCATATTGAATCTTGACAGTAACAGATAGAGGATAAAATTACGAACACATCGATATGTAACACTACTGCTTTATTTGAATAACTCATAAAATTAAAGAAATTCAATAATTTTGGCAGATTCGAAATTTGCTAGCGCTTACTGCCTTGTGTACATTATATTAATACTGAGGGTTGCTTTCGCTGTACAGCAAGAATAAAACGCTCTCTCAACGGTAAAAATAAACTAATTTTATTGAAAACTAAGCTTGTGTAGAAGTGATGTTGACGGTTTGAGAGTTTGCTGGAGAGTTCCCGTAGTTGAAGTCGGTCGTAGGTAGCTAGTCGGTGGCAGAAGTCCCTGGTCCTGGCGCCACTCTGCAGGGGTCGGCTTCCGGGACCCCGTGGTGCGTCCGGCGGCGTTCTTGACGTTGTACTTAAAAATTGGTCACTTGCAACATGTGTACCCACAATACGTATTTTAATTGAAATTATGGTAAAAGTTTTCAATTACAGAGAAGAGGGAGATGCTTGAGTTATTCGTGAAATAAGTAATACAAACTCTGTAGAAACTACATATTAGAAGATATCATTAATTATATCCAGAAATGGATTCCCCGTATCTTCTTATACCACATTTTTTCTATAACTTTGGAAAGCTTAAGATGTTCAAGTTCGTTATTTGCATTTTATTTATGCAAAAAAGGTACCTCATGGGTATAGTTAGACGACAGAACTTACTTTTTTGCAACAGCGACACTATTCTCTTAAAGAAAATGTCAAAATAATCAAAAAAACGTATTCTGGTGTAGTAGGACTAATCGTCCTCCAAATAATCTGCAGGTTGTAAGAAGTTTGATCGCCATTACTTCAGCATGAGATAGATTAATCATAAATGAACAAAAAAGGTGTATATTACAGGGGCGTAAGATTAACAGTTTTCAAAATACAGCGAGTATTAATATTAGGGAGTTTTAATACAACGTGACAACAGCGCTTAACCTAATGTTACACAGCTGATGCACACCACGTTTGCACGCGGCATACTTGTCCTACGGAATAACAAAAATGTAAACAACTATAACTGTGAAACATTAATAAATTTCAAGACAATAGTTTTCCAGTTTTTAAATAAATAATATATAATGTATCTATTTTTTAGTACGAAGATAGTGTTGTGCTTAAATTTTAGCTCGAATTTTAGTAATTTGAATCTCTTAAAACAGGAACTTTTAATCAAATTATGACTGAAAAATATGTAAAAAAGTGATAAACATTGTATTTTATGGTATTCTATACACGCAGTTATGTCAATATTCCTTAATTTATTGAACTGTTGTACATCAAGTCAAGGAGATTTTGATAATTTTTTTCTCGGAAACGGTTGGGTCTAGTCATGTCATATAGGGTTTTTTTGTTTATTTTAATGTATTCTATCGTCTGTTAAAATTAAGACAGTGAAACTTCTAACATCCTGTATAAACTATTTAAAAAATCCATACAAAGTCGTGGATGAAATGAAACCTTTTGCTTAAAATAAGTTGTTTCGCAATGAAAAATTGCACTACCCTGTACAACAAAATCATTTTATTTTCGCTTGTTCTAACTGCGCCCGAAATTATGAAGATACAATTTGGTACATCCTGCATACAGGATGTTATAATTTAAATGTATTTGTTAGAAAATTGTGTTAGAGGTAGGTATACAGTATACACTATCCTACTTTTTATCATATTAATTATATTATAGAGGTTACTCTAGTTCATGTTACATAAAATAAGCAGAAAATAATAATATAAGAATTACTAGAGGCACAAAAAATATTAGTTTCAGTTTACTTCACAACCGATGTCAATTTTCTTTTAAGCAATGTGTGCTTGACCATAAAAAAGTGACCACTCATTTCTATAACATGTGGTTTTACTCTTAATGATTACCAATCGTTTCATGGCAGATGAATAAACAAAATATAAGTAAAGAAATATATGTCTGAACTGACAAATTTTTTATGAGAGTGCATTTCATGCAACGATTCTAATAAATGAGTTTAGTACACCTTTAAAATAACTGTTCACTCCAATTCGATTATTTCTGTGGTTAAAGAGCGATTTTGCAATGCAACGATAAATAACAGATTAACATCCAATTAATAAATTAATTTACAGCTTCACTTAGACGTGACACTTATCAATACAGTTTATTGAATTAAACTCTTTTTTTGTAATACCTAGTACCGCAAAGTTCAGTGACTGAAACTAGAGAGGTTAATTTTAGAAAGACGAACTTGTTCAAAAATGTACAAACTGTATTTATTTTCAATCGTCATGTCCTTTGATGAAGGTAATGTCAGAATCGTCGCAGAAAAGCTTCTGAAATAGTAGCCCGTGTGGTCTTTCCAATAACCACATAATATTAATTTGTCTTCTGTTTCTGCTGATGTCATATTAGAGTTCTCTTCTACATACCCGTAAGAACTCATAGCAATTTATCTGTTGCAACTGTATCTCAACCAGGACTAAAAATCTGACCACGATAGTTTCATATCAACTCACAGTAACCCACAAGGGTTTGTGTGGAAATTAATAAAACATAATTATGTGAAAATAAATGACTAACCGTAACATAATTTTCACTTGTGATTTCTTTATTAGCATTACAAATATTATCTATGTCAAGAGACTCGTCAAAATTAATGAAATCTTAGAAACAATTAGAATGCTTCGTAACAGAAAATTTCATTATTGTTTACTTGCATGTTTTGTTATAACTAGTACTGGCTATGCA